TGAGAAATACTCTTGATTTAGAAACTTTTTTTTTTACTGTTTGGGAGGGCTTAATGCCAGGATTTTTCAGGGACGGTGAAGCCTCTTAAAGGTAAATGAGCCTTCTCTTATTCCTTTTTTGTGAATATCGACACATTGTTTGTCAACGAAAGGTATGGATATATGTGCTTGACTTTCTCTCAGAAGATTGAAATGGCAAAGGTTGGCTTTCTTGCCCTCTTCCCTTTATTGATTCAACATTTGCTGGTTGGATTTCAGATTTCTCAAAAAAAGAATCGTCAGGCAAAAAATTATTTATTGTCCTCCTCTCTTTGATAAAGATATATGGATTATCTTGTGACATGGCAGGCCTGAATTATTGATGTGTAGAAAACTCAGCCACTCTTTATATTCTTCAGACTCCTTGACATTCAATGTCTCGAGCAAAGTCATACATGTTTTGAGAGTGTATTTTTGAATTAATTGGAAGCAATAGAACTGTTTTGAGTTACTATTCTCTTAGTGCATTGAATTATAAATGTTTGATGAAAAAAATCAAATTGGTTGGAGAAAAGAATTTGGATAGATCTTGCCATTTACTCAAAACAAATTTGTTGGTTCGAGAAAAACATAGTTGTCTTATCTTTTCCCATAAATTTTGATGAGGATCTTTCTCCAATTTGTCTTAATTTGGGATAGACGAGTGAATTAATGGAAATTGGCATGAAACTTGAAGGTTGTTCTTACTTATGATATCTTTGTAGATGTTGCCAAAGCCCACTCCCGCGCCAACCCAACAGCCCACTCCCGCGCCAACCCAACAGCCCGGAAGCTGCTCCAGCGCCAGCCCAGAAGCCCACTACCATGCCCGCTTGGCAACCCGCTTCAGTGCCCGTATGTGCCAGCCCAGCAGCCAGAGCCTGCCCTGCCCGGCAGCCCGTCCTCGCGCCAGTGTGCGGCTAGCAATCCAGCCAATCAGATTGCTCCAAAGTAGAGTTATTCACAGATCGGGCCAGATGAGCTTTCAAATCTGCATTAGACATAACCTAAATATGAACCTCAACACACCCCATAATCCCTTTTCAGGGGGCAACCGACGGCCTACGACCAGTAAAAGTAGCATGATTAATTTTCAGGGGGCAACCGAACATGGAACCAAGCCCATGAAGAATCCTAGGAGAGAAGAGGTGCCGTCTCAAAATTGGAAAAGATACTCATATAGGAATAATGGGTGATTCAATTTCAACAACAAAGGTAAGAGACCACTTGAAGATTTTCTTGAAGCAATTGTTCACAAAGTAGGAATGGTGAGAAAAAATACGACAATAATCCAAATCGTTCACAAGTTTGATTAGAACATGCTTTGGGTTAAGAACAGTGACCGAAAATTCACAATTGAGCTTAAGGTTAAAGAATAATGTGCAAATTAATAGCCTCAAGCGTAGGCCTACGAGAAGAAAATTTTCCCGCTAAAACAAACTAAAAGGGAGCGGCAAGTGCCAAAACTTCATCATCAGAAATCCACAATGAAGGCAACCGACAAAAAGAAGAGATTTTGAGTTCTGGAAAATTAGATGAAGAAGATGAAGAACAACCCGATAAAGCATCACGAAAGGACCTAGAAGAGGGACTGTCCGCCAAAAAACCATGATCTTTAAGTCATTTTTCCTCCATCGAAAAGAGACAGAAAGCAAAAAAGAGCTACAAAACTACGAAAAACACAAGGAATTAGGACACGAGACTTACCTTAGAAGCTCGGAAAGCATAAACACAATGACGAAAAGGGGAGTGCCATCCAGAAATCCTAGCATAGTACATCTTTACATATGATATGATTATGATAATTTGTAATAATTGTTGTATAGCTATATATTTATATAGATTAAGCTTGTAATTTAGGTACACTTCCATATATATATCTTTTATTTTTTATTTAGGTATACTTCCATATTTTTTTTAAATGTTTTTTAGGTACACATTCATATATCAAAATGTTAGAAATTAAAAATAGGGTTAAATGAAAATAATGTTGATATTTTTCATATCTATGAGAAAATATGATAAAATTGTATGCTCACCTTTTTTACAAAATTTTGGGTATTATAATACCAGCTTGTCCAATCTATCTACTTGATGGGTTATTAATCATAATGTACGGATAGCCTGATTAGTTAGCATGGGTTGCATCATCTCAAGTATCCTAAGCAAATTAGGGTGAACATACGTATGTCAAAGTCATGTTTTCAAAACTAACATCAACTTATTTACTATCAGAGGGAAGTCATGTGGTTTTTATTAAATAGTTCATAGGCACACAATATGGAGTCTAAAGGTTTTCATTTGAGTAGATCTAAAATTGAATATATGGAGTATAATGTTAGTAATAGTAGATCTAGTGGGGGAATTGTGACTTTGGGTGAACGAGTCAATAATAAGAGTACACATTTTCGATAACTTGGATCTTTTGCTCATAGTGATACTAAAATAGATAGGGATATTATTAGTAGAATTCAAGTTGGATAGTTGAAGTGGAGGAATGCTTCGGGCTTGTTGTATAATAGAAAAGTCCCCTCTCAAACTTAAGGGAAAATTCTATAAGATGGCGATTAGACCTACAATGCTATATGGTCATAGTATTAAGTTAAGTGTTGCAAAGATGATGATGCTCAGGTGGATGAGTGACTTTACTCTTAGAGACATGATACGAAATGAGTATATACATGAGAAAGTTGGAGTAGCTCCAATGGAATATAAGATTAGAGAGAGTCGTCTTAGATGATTTGAGCATATAAAACAATAGCATTTTGATGACCCGATTAAGAAAATAGATGTATTAGATTTGACTTATGTTAAGAAAGTTAAATATACACTAAAAAGGCTTGGTTAGAAAATATTAGAAATGACATTTCTTTATTAGATTTAAATGAGTTTTTAACTCTTAACATGATACAATGGAGAAAAAAGATTAATGTAACCGACTCCACATAATAGGATAAAGGCTTGATGTTGTTGTTGTATAGGCACACAACATGGAACTTTTATTCGGTCCGGTGAACGTAGGCTCCTCTACGTTCGGCCACCAATATTTTAGCGCCACGTAGCATGAAGAAAAGTCGCCGACCTGACCCGCTGTTTTTTGGGTTCTCGCACGTGCGTTTTTTTAAATCCTTGACGAGCCGAACAAAATCCCATCACCTTTTAGATATATTTCAAATACCTAGCAATACCGAGCAAATACCAAGTTGTACCTAGTTTTTTCTAGCAATACCGAGCAAATACCGAGCAATACCGAGCAAATCCCTAGCAATACCGAGCAAATACCTAGCAATACCGAGCAAATACTGAGTTGTACCGAGTTGTACCGAGTTTTTTCTAGCAATACCGAGCAAATACCTAGCAATACCGAGCAAATCCCTAGCAATACCGAGCAAATTCTGAGCAAATACTGAGTTGTAAAAAACTCGGTACAACTCGGTATTTGTATGGTATTGGTCTTCACAGAGCGGTATTTCTCATTTTTGCAAAGCAATACCTAGCAAATACCGAGCAAATATCGAGTAAATACTGAGAAAATCGCGAACATAGCATTCCCGGGTTCCGCTCCGGGTCAAGTCGTCGGGCCGCGCGGTTTAGAGTAAGAGCACATGGCGACATGTTATTGACGGCCGAACGTAACTCTACGTGCGGTCAGAGGATGTAATAATTGTTCCACAACATGACCGTTTGTAATTTCAAGCTATTCAACATGACTGATAGGCATAACAGATGTGTGAATCATAATAGCATTTTGGCATGACTACCAATTATTGTTTGTCAGTTTCAACGTGACTCAGAAAAGCAAGTCTGTGACATATATGAGGTTTCATCAATGGAATTAATTTTGATTGATGGGCTTATTAGTGAGTTGTCTGCCCAAGTTTAGATTGAGTTAGGGCTTATATCTATTAGAATGAAGAAGTTTTGATTTAGCAAGTCCTTCAGAAGGCTCATAACAAAAGAAGCTAAGAAAAGTTCACTTCATTATGATCCAAGAAATAAGCCATGAAAAATTACACAATTCCCCAATTCTTATTTTAAAGATCAGTAGAAACCAACTCATTGAAAAACATTTTATCAAACAATTACTGATGATGAATTTAGAAATGCTTTATGTTCAGCAAGTTTACATTACAAAGATCAATATACTTTGTTGTAAGTGCTTTTAGACTGCCAACTACTCATGTTTGGAACAAATCCATAAGTCAATCCGCCAGCCAGAAAAAATAAAAAAGATCAATACAAATTTCACATAGGAAACATATTAATTTTCAAAAGCTAAGAAGAATTGTTACCATCACCGGAATAAATTCCTCTTGCATCCACTTTATAATAGAAAGAAATACTTAGCAAGACATACTTATATCATTATATGTCAGTAGCACCCAAAGTTCAATCACCATTAACATTCTTTTTAAAGATAATTCCTTACTGATTTTACAACGAAACATTAGTAATTACAACAACAACAACAACATCAAGCCTTTGTCCCACTATGTGAGGTCGGCTATATGAATCCTTTTTTTCCATTCTGTCCTATTAAAAGTCAAATTCTCATTTAAATCTAACAAAGAAAGATTGTTATTAATAATACTGCCGTTATCAAGTCCTAAGTCCTAGATGAGAAAAATGGAGGGTTGCGTTAGATAGTTGACAGACAGTGTAAAACTTGTCGAATAATCATGACATGAATATTTTACAACGAAACAATAGTGATGAAAAAAAAAAATTTTTGTTGAATCATTCACACTTGAGGATTGTACAAGAAGTTAGAGTGCTTCCAATAGGTCCATCATTCGGATTACTTTGTGGAATACAAAATAAAATAAAATAAAAATGGTTTAGGACTTGTTTCCTACCTAAGAAGAAGTGCTCCTATGGCATTAAGCATTGCAATCAGATGGGCTGCTAAATTTTGAGACTCAAAAAACCAGATCTAACATGCTAAGCAATTGAGCAAATTGAAAACATGAAAAATTCCAATGAACCAAATTAGCACATAGAAATACTTATATTATTACTATCTAATTTAATGCATCTTCAATGTAAATGATACATTGATAGAATTATGGTACAAATCCATGGTGTACAGTCCATGGTAACTTGATTCCGAATTCAACCAAGCAACTATTACAATCTAAAAATTCCAAGGAATGCCTTAGTTTTCTCTTTTTATCTGAGTGACCGTCTTTCACTCCATCTTTTTACTTCTTCTACTTCTCTCCTGTAAATAAGGGTGCCCCCTCTGGTACTTCAAAATGGCCCATACTAAGTGACTGAAAGAGAAATCAGGCCAGAGAGGAGTTGGATTTTGCAAGTGACTAAAACTAGACTGCAATAGAAGGAAGTTACTGAGGCGAGTCTCACCCGAAGTCCTGATGACTATATCTGGATCTGGACAACCAGAAGTGTACAAATGCCGCTCAAAATCAGCTACTGAAATAACACTTTGCATATCAAATTCTTCAAAAAAATCATTTTTGCAACCACAAGCATGTAGCTCTTTCATCAGATCCCTCTTTTCATGACAAGACATTTCAATCGCATGCGCAATTTCATCTGTAGAAGTATAAGCCACACACACAGATAGCACTGGTCCTGTATTATGACATGTGCTTCTCATTGCTTTTTCAACCGACAACCTCAAAGGATCATTCAAAAGGTTATGGTTTCCCCAGAAATTAAGTCTAACCTCATATTCATTCACAAAGCTCTGTTCTTTGAGCAATTCATCAATCTTCTCCTTCATCAGATCCATGGTTGACTGAACCTCTTCTGGTTTTCGTCTGAAATTGTCAATGCTGAAGGCATATATGGTGACATACTTAACTCCCATTTCATAGCAATATCTCAAAATAGAGATGAGGGCAGAAAATCCAGCCCTGTGACCAGTGCCTCTTTCCAAGCTTCGCTTGTTTGCATATCTACGATTCCCATCCATGATGAAAGCAATATGATTTGGCATGGGACCAATTGACAGAACATAAAAGATACATCGACGAACCATGTAGCATAATTTTTCAAAGAAAGTAGGCATCTTTGATCAAACTTATGAGCTTCAAGATCCTAACATCCATATATAAGCAGAAGTTAGTTACTACCAAATAGAAACAAAAAGTGGCAAACTAGCCATAGAAGAGTGCACTCACTATTTTACAGATAAACAAGCAACACAGAGAGACGAGTTCCTGATTCAAGATTCAGACATTATGAGAAGGCGTCTAAAGTTATTTGGGGGCTCTTTGGTAGCAGGATTTAAGCGGGATTTAACTTAAATCTTGCTAAACAGCAAAAATCGCAACTTTAATTCCAGTACTAAGTTAAATCCCGTTTTCCCCCCGTTTTACCTTAAATCATGGATTTGCTAAATCGGGGGATTCGACTAATTTAACTCAAATTAGCTGCCGCTCTGCCCCCAGCGAGCTCTCTTCTTCTCGACACGCCAACACTCCCGTCGATGCCTGACCTCAGCGATCTTCCTTCACGAATTCCACATCTCTATCACTCGCTGCCGGTTCCATCGATGCCTGCCGCCAGCGAGTTCCCGTCACGAAGTTTCGTTGCGGCGGGCTTCGGCGCGGCTTCCTCACTTTTGTTGAGGGCGCCTCAAAGCTTTAAAGACGGACCGATTGGATTTTCCTCAAGGCTTTAAAGCCGCGCCTCACGTTTGTATTACCTCATTTAAAAAAAAAAATGTTAAAAACATACAAAAATAAACTTTATAAACAGGCTGCGATAAGGCTATGGATTCCAGCCATCCATAATTTAAAAAAAAATACATATTTAATTTTAAAATGGAAATGAAATTAAATTTTAAATTAAATTATTATTTTTAAAACATAATTTAAATTTAATTAAAATAATTTAATTTTAAACAATAATTTAATATACTTTTTGACAAAATATTCATTTTATTTATTTTTTTAAATAACCACTTCACTGGCCCTATTTTGATTGTGACAATCTTATTTGTTTTTTGAGAGGGTACATCATAGAATATATAATTTAATGTTAAAATAAATATGGGTTTGAGAGTCCTTATGATAATCACTCTGAAATATTTACTCGTGATTAAGTTATTTTTAGTATTTATTTAAATGCATTCAGTTTCACTAATTTTAGTTTCAGATTTTTGTATAGTATTTCAGTTTACGATTACAATGTAATATTTTCAATACTTTGGTTTCAATATTGATTTCTATTTTAGGCTATGATATTCTACTGAGCTATTTAGCTCACTCATACTTTTATTTATGTTTTCAGGTCAACGGGTAATGAGCGAGTTGAATAGTTTTAATAGCAAACTTTGATCTGTGTTATAGATATGTTTGAAAAGTTTTATTTTTGAAAGGCTTGGCTTTTTTTTTCTTTATTTCCAAGTACTATTTTAGAAACGTTATAGTGTACATATATTTTTAGATGATATAAAAAAGAAAATTTATATTTGTATGAAAATTATATTCAAAAGTTAGCCAAGCAATTCTAGAATAATCAGGTGAATTTGGTTTACAAAACGGAGACATAACGGTTCTAGAAAGCACACTTGTAACGACATATGTCAATTTTTTAAGGAATTATACTAGTGCCAAAAATTTATGAAAAAAATAATGAAATTAAAAACCAATAGTATCGAAGGCGGTTTGTGATTTTGATTTATAATGACTCATAAAATAACTTTTTACTGTTATAGGTAAAAATATATTTTTTTAAAATTTTGAGTGATAACATGTTCCTCATAATTTTTTTATTAGAAAAAAAAAAGATTGTTTGAATTTTTTTTTTGTGGTAAGTAGAATAATTAATTAAAAATTAATTTTGTATCTATAAAAAAATTAATTTTATATCCCTCATATTGCATACAATTGGCCTGGGAGTTTTATCATTTTTTTCTTAGAAAATATGCTTGAAATTAGTTTTAGTTGAGCTTGCCTCGTATCAGATTCATGTAGTGCTTATGTGAATGAAATTACTTCAAGACAAGGAAGTTGTGATGCCCACTAAAATACTGTTTAGTTGCACCTGTTCTGACCTGATAAGTCATGTGTGTTAGACATAAGTTTGGGGATGTTCCTTGTGCATATAAATGCCTGAAATATGTTTTAACCACAGGGGTATGTGTGCATGAAAATTAAAACTTGAAATTTTATGTTAGAAGTAATGCAACGCTATGGCGCTAAGCTCTTGGGTTTGTCCATTTTAAAATGATTTCGGTTGGCTCAGTGGCGCCGTTGTCTAGAGCGAAAGTTGAGATGCAGGCCTAAAGAGAGGGAGAGATTTTAGAGAGTGAAAGTTGGGTTCGGGCAACTTTTGTTCGTTTTTTATGGTCAATCTAGTTCGAAAAGTTGTCAGGATTAAGATATACCATATTTTTTCCATCTCAATTTTAATAATGTGAAAATTTTGAGATTTTTATGTTTAGAATTATAATTTAGTTGTGTAAAAAATGATGACTACTTCGTATTCGCTCAACTTTCATTTTTTCTGTTTGTTATAAATATGAGTATTCTAGCTGTTTTAATATTTTCTTTAAAACTTTTCAGCTTTGTAATTGAAAAGTGTACAAATTTTAGCAAATTAGAAAATGATTCTAGTCTTAGAAAATGTTGTAGATCATTTAAATGTTTCAAAATACTGTTTTGAAAATTTTCTAATGATATCGTGAAATGTTGAAATTTATAAAATTCTGCTTAGTCATTAAATCTATTGGCTATTGATGGAGAATTTTGTGAATTTATGCAAATTAGGTGTTTTTATTTATTTAATTGAAATGCAAATATATATGTGATTATAAGGAGTTTTGATGCTGAAGAAATATCTGCTGTGTTAAATGCACTGAGAGCTATAAGGATTTGAATTTCTGAATATTTGATGTGCTAAAAATTTGGGACTTATAAGGGTTTAAATTCTGATATATATTTCTGTTTGGGAGATATAAGACCTTGAGGGAATTGTGTTATTTTCTGCTTTGATATATAAAGTATTTGTTTATTTACTTTCAGGGCAAAGTTGATTTAGGTTTCGTTTGGGACGGTTTTTTTTATTGCTTTCTAAAACGGAGTTTTAATACAAAAATAAAAAATTTTGTACTAAAACTCTGTTTTAAAAAGCAGTAAAAAAGCCGTCCCAAACGAAGCCTTAATATATGTTATATGCTAGCATTACTTTGATTAATTCAATAGTAGTCTGCTAAAAACTATTTTTAATTCAGTACATGTACATGCATAATAGATTAATTATTAAAAATTTAGATCGGTTAGTGTGAACTGTTGAGTTGTGTTTGCTCACACTTGTTTTGCATTCTATTTCAGGTCAAAAAAGGGTAAGGAGCCAGTTTAGTAGTGGACGTTGCATTTTTTGATCACTTTGTATTGGTATTTTTCTGGTTTTTAGATTTTTGTATAGTCATGATTATTATTTGTTTTGCTCTACTCTAATTTGATATGATATGTAACTATGTAATATAATGTAGAGATTTTTGTTGTATACACATTTTGAGAGATAATCAAAATGAAAAGAAATTTGTTGTTGAATTTATTTTTTATTCCAGCAACATTTGAAGAATAGGAAAATGAAGTCTCAAGAATCGTAGGGGGGCCAACAATATTCAATTGCACCCAAGCCTTGAATCAAGCGACCATAGTCTCTCGAGATCTAAAACAAATTGGGAAAATTAAACAAATTGGGGAAAATTGGAATGGCACTCTTAGAACAACATGCTTATAACTTGAATGATTATTTTTTGAAGGTGAAGCAAATATTGACATTCCTATGTTGTATTTTGGAGAGCTCCAATAATGTTACCATGAGTGCACACACTTATACAATGACCATTTTATTAGATTTTTAAATGCAAAAATGATTTTTTGATAGTCTTACCTAGGAGAAATTATTCAGTGCGGACACCGAACGTAGTTCGCCCTCCGGAGACCAATTAGAATGTGCCACATCATTAGTATAGAGCATAGTACCGAGCGCAGTACTGAGCCACGGTACCGAGCATGGGTGAAGTGACGCATTCTGGCTGATCTCTGGACAGCGTTCTGCGTCCTCACAGAATAATTTGCCCTTACCTAGAGGTGTAAATTAATGAGTTAAGACCAACTTTAGACGTGTTTAGCATGGCTCATTGCAGCCCAATTAAATTAGTTTTTTCAAAAATGAAAACTCTTTTCATATAGGTGCTTGTAGCTTTATAAATTTAATTTGTCAAAAATGACAACTTGTCATCCTATAGATGCTTGTAGTTACATTAATTACTACCATAAGAAAATAACAGCCATGTTGTCCTATTAATGAAAAGACACCTAATAGCTATCTTATTAATTAACAGTTGTAGAAGAGCCCATTTAGCTCATTGGATAAACTACTAGATACATGGGACAACTCATGAGCTTGCGAGCTAAGTCTTATCAAGTTCTAATTCAAGACCGTTAATCGTTGAGCTTAACTTTAAGCTTATATTTGAGCTCATGACTAGATAAGACCAGCTTGTGAACTCATTTACTAATTTAATTTGAGCCTTTTCGACTAACTAGCTTACACATTAAATGTACCATTGTAGCGAATACCAAAACTATTTTGGCAGCAAGAAAAAAAATGAAGAAACTTTATGGGAGCTCTTGAATAGCTCTCAAAGTTTGATTATCTATCATATTTGTTAATATGATTTGCTTTCCTTTGATGGTAATCTTAATGGTGATATTGATTTACACGAGAGGATATGTACTTCTAGAAAATTGATGTGATGGGTTTCCCACACAAACATGTGTTAGTTGTAGCTAGGGGTGTCAATTTCGGGTCACGGGTCAGGTTCGGGTTGAACCCGGAACTGACCCGGGTTCAATCAGATCGACCCTAACCCGACCCGACACGGGAAGGAGCAAACGCGGGATGCGAGCGAGCGCGCGGGACGTAAGCGAGAGTGCGGTGCGCGGGTGCGTGAGCGCGCTAACGGCGAGTGCGCGAGATGTGAACGGGCACACAGGTGCGCAGGTGTGCGGGATGCGGCTGGCTGAGTGCGCCGGACGCGGGCGGGTGCGCGGACGGGACGCCGTGGGTGAGCGGGTGCGACGCTGGCCGGGTGCGCTGCAGCATGCTTGTGCAGTCACGAACTCTCGGGCAGTCAGTTTAAATAGGTTTCCGGGTTGACCCGCCAACCCGTCGGGTCAACCCGAACCCGACCCTTTTTTCAAACGGGTCGAATCTACGAACCCGAACCCAATCCGTTTTTAAAACGGGTCGGGTCCAACCCAGATTTTCCGAGTCGGGTCCGTATCGGGTTTTCGTATCGTGTCAAATATTGACACCCCTAGTTGTAGCTTGGGCTCGATGTGTTAGTTACTACATCTTATACTCAAAGTCTTATATATGCATATTAAATGCATATGTTGAAATTATATGTTTAGTTGAAAATGAGGAAAATTGGAAGGTTCTAGATGTAATAAAATATATAGTTGTACTATCCCAAATTATAAAGATGAAGGGTCGGAAAAATGCTAAATAACTAATACGAGACGCAAATTAAAATATAAACAAACTAAAATGTTACAAACTAGTTCAAACTAATTTCATTACTCTAGACTAAAAAAAGTACATAGTGAGAAGTGGGAGCATTTTGATCATAAATGAACTTTTTGATGTATTTCTCCATGACAACAAATATTGGGCAAATTAGATCAACTATGATGATTATGAGGCATATAAATTCAAAATTTTCTTTAAATGTAGTGAGTGAATTTGAATTGGTTCATAAGTAATGATAATACATAATTTTGTTAATCATAATTAATTAATAAATCATACATAACTACTAATAATCACTAACAAATGCTTATAATATCAATTATAGCATAATAATCCCAATAAGTTATAATTAATATAGATTATATAGAATTAGTTGAATTAATATAGTTTCTTACAATAGCCACTTTGAATGCTTATGAAGCAAGTAAAATTATTCTTCTATACTTGCTAAATAATTTTCTTAAGATTTTTTTGCTTTAAAAAACTATTTTCTACTTAGCATTTTTAAAATTCTTATTTTTAAATGAAATATATTAAAATATTTTTAAAAACATTGAAAATAACTTTAAGAATTTTTTTTAAAATTTTTTAAAGCATTAACTTTTGGTTGTAGCTAATTGCTGCCTATAAGCCATTGCTCGTCCCTGGTTGTAGTCTCATGTACATTGCACAATCGCCTAATCAGTTGTTATCGTATAAATCGACTTATGTAATATTCAATGAAAACTAAAATAATTTATATTTAATGAAAAAAATATATATTTTATTTCATATAAAATATTACAAAACTAAACTTTTACCTTTATTTATATAATATCATAATATAAAAATTATATTCAAATATATGCATAAAAATATATTTCATGTTAGCTAATTTAATATTAGTGATGTTTTGTTAAATATTAAATGACATTTATATAAATTTCTCATATTTTAATGCACATGCATTCCTTCGTAAAATCTGCATCCCGTCCATCACGAACAATTATTACGTCCTCCGACCGGACGTAGAGGAACGTCCGGTCGGAGGCAAATTCCCGCAAAAAAACGAGTTGTACCGAGCAAATACCGAGCAATACCAAACAATAATGAAGAATACCATCATTTGAAGACCCAATACCGAGTTATACCGGGCTTTACCGAGCAAATACCGAGTTATACCAAAGTTGTACCGAGTTTTTCCCAGAAAAACTCGGTACAACTCGGTATTTCTCGGTACAGCTAGGTATAACTCGGTATTGGTCTTCATAGAACAATATTCTTCATTATTATCAAATAATACTTAGTTGTACCGAGCAAATACCTAGTTTTTGGACGGAAAATTACCTCCGACCGGATGTTCCTCTACGTCCTTGCACCGAAAGTAATAAAAGTTCGTCCATCACAACCTCTGCCATGTGCTTCTAATTTTTCTAAAGCTGTCGGATGTATTTTCCACCATATGCTGACCGCAAATACTGTAGGGTCCACAAAGTTTGATTCAGAACCCAAATTAATCCGATCATCCACCGGACCGGACCAGCCCAGCCCAGCCCGGCTTGTATTGGGCGTATGCGATAATCCGAGAGCCGGCGAGGATTACAGTGCCCGAGAGAGAGAGAGAGAAGCAAGGAGAAGAGGCGGTTGTGGAAAATGCCGGCGACTTCGACGTTGGTAGGTGTGTTGCTAGGACTTGGCACCCAGATGTACTCCAATGCCCTCCGCAAGCTCCCCTACATGAGGCGTACTTCCTTCGAGATCCCTAACCCTAATTCCTTCTGATTGCTATCCGTTTCTCTTCCAGAGTATAGTTAATTGAGATGTATATTTATCGCAATTCTTGATTGACCAGACCCGTGGGAGCACGTGCTTGGCATGGGGCTGGGCGCTATCTTCGTGAACCAGCTCGTTAAGTTTGATGAAAAACTTAAGGAAGACCTTGACAAGATGCTCGAGAAGGCCAAGGCCGCCAACGAGCGCAGATACTTCGGTTCGTTTTTTAGTTAACCTTTTTTTTTTATCGTTCTCTTGATTGGTCATTAATGTGTAATTTATTGCTTCTTGTTTTGAAGAATTTCTGCTAATTTTGCTTTGATTTGGAGGTTAAGGAAGCATGTTAACCTACTTGATATGTTTTTCCCCCCATTTTTGGAGGAAATTTTGGTTTTTCGTGTAGATCTTAACTTATACACAAAATATGATACCGATTTTGATCATCCTCTTAGTTAGTTTGGCACCAATTGAGGGGAATAATGATGCTTTATAGGCTAGAGAATCAACTGCACCCAGAGTTGATTGAAAATTTATAATTAATTCAAAATTATGTTGCTTTTTCAAGTTTTTTCATTAGATTTTCAGTAATCTAGTTTAGGTCTTATTTGATAATGGTTATCTTTGTAATTTCTAGATTTTTATGTTTATTGTAGTAATGCATGGCTCCTTATCTATGAAAGGATCTCATGGAGATTATTTGTGGATGTGCTTGATTAAAGTTGAATTTGAATTCATCCTCCTACTTTCTCTCCCTCTAATTCTTTTCGATTCCCCCTCTCTACCCTGATAGCACACATCTCTCCTCATTCACATCGCTTTGATCATACCTAATGTTGTCTCAGTTATCTCGCCAAATTTCATACAACCTTAAGCACCATTCACCTCTCTTTTGCCTAACCGTGAATTTGCTTGCATCTCTTGGTTGGCTCCATCTCTATATTATTGGCTTGGCTTGGATGCTTCTCTCTCCCTCTCTCCAAGCAATATTGTATACTCATATATTCCTTTTCAAGAATTTAGCAGGTAGTCGGTGGGTCATAATAGAAGATCTGGCACCTTGTTGGCTTACATAAGAGCTCGCCCAAAGGTCATGAAATCCATGTCTACAAGGACTCAGTAGGGAGTTGCCTCCCACATTTGGAAATCGAAATCTTCATAGGTTATCTAACTTGCCACTTATGTCCCAATGAGAGACTCGTCATCAATGTTTCTTTCCATTCACCACATTGATCCCACTCTCTGCTTCAACTATAGGGAGGGTGCTCACTCAAGAGACCCTCAGCTCGGCCTATCATAGTCAACCGATCATGGAGCTTATCCACTATGCAACCCAATGCCACTCACCTCTCTTTGTGAGGAGAAATAGGGCTTAGCATGGGCCACCAGCGACTCAAGGGCGTTGCCAGCCTCAGTTCCCTATGTTCAAAACTCACGCTGCTAAGCCTGCCTAAAGGCAGAAAAGTCACGTTCAAGGAAGGCAATCTCCCTCATAGCCAACCAGACTATGACACGCGTCTAAGAAAGCCTGTAGAGTTATTGAATTTATGTATTATTTTATTCATTTATTGATGTTTTTTTTGTAGTTCTTAGATTCTTATAAATATAGGGTGAAGAGGATTATTTTAGATCTTTTTGCATCTTGAGCATTCAGTGGCACTTGTATTATAAACATTTGAGTTAGTGGATTATTCTCTCTTTATTCTCCCATAGGTTTTTAGGTCATACTCTCAGAGCTTGCCTGTTAGATTTATGAATCCACATTATCCATTTATGCCTTCGGAGTGACAAATGAGCTGTTAAGCCTAATTTGCACAAACCTTATTGCGCAACTTTTTCCTTGGTTATATTTGGGCAACCTTTTTTTTTGCTAAACGTTTGAAATTAATATTATCTACTTGTTTTAATAATATTTTTTTTTGCCATTTGTTGTGCATGCCCAAATCATTGACATTTGTTTTCCTTGAATTTAACTAAAATAGATGATGCTCCTATTGACAATCTATATAATCATTTTTTTAATATATCTTTTGAAGTTTTACAACACATCTTTTAGATCATTCTCATTTTCTTCATATTCAACTTGTATAATTATAGGTCTATAAAATTACCTTTAAGAGTTCTTATTTAGTTATTTTCTCTTATTGCTTAATACTATTAGGACAATTATCCATTTTAACTCCCCATATTTAACTCGAGAAGATGTATCTTCATTTATCTCTTCATTATTTTGTAGGATAATTGCATGATACTTAACCTATCACCACCTAGGTGTCGCTTCATATTCTAATAATATTTCCCCAGTGGTAATGTCGCATCCACTATAATTGCATATCTTATATCTAGTATCTATTTTGCTAATTCTGTGCTCTTTCTCCTCATAATATTTTCTCCGTTGCTTTTCATCTACAAAAATAGACATTTAGGTATCTCATTTTGAATTCAACCATCTCCATAATCAATATAAGAAGATGTTGACTTAATGTTAACAAATTATGATTGAGATTTGTCTTAACTCAACAACTATTTATAATATTAGCCAATGCTCTATAATCACATATTTTTAACAAATTCAACATATTTTTAAACACATACTTTTTCTTCATTAATGCAGACCAAATTAACTCTCGTGGCACTTGTATGCCCATGCAAGATTAATAAAAATCATATGAATTTTTTCTTTTTTTTTGTTTCCTACATGCTTGCGTTAGCCTTAGCGCATAAATCGCATCCATTGCAGATCTTTGCAGCTTAGGTCAAACTGATTATTTGATATTAACATAATTTTTTGCAATATGTCTTCTGTTTCTCTCTCCTAGAGTTTTATCGTATGACCCATAAATTTAACTCCCATTTAATTATCATACTATTGATTATCCTTGTTCTTTAATATTAGTGTTAAGATACTTCTTTTCCAATCATTTAGCATTCTCTTAGTCTTCAGAATTTCATTAAAAAGTTTTATAAGCAACTACTTCAATAACACGCTTAATTCTTTAAATCTTTTAAGGATCTCATATAGATCCATAACTTTATGTTTGCGCAAATTTTTAAGGGAGGGCTAGTTCTACGTTATTTTTTGGATCAAATTAGGATATACCTAGTTCATTTTTCAATTCACTCTTTCGCATATTTTTCTTCCTAACCTGTTGAGCAATTTTTTTCTAATTGAACACAACAATAAGTTCGGCTTAAATATACCTAATTTACCTATCTAATTACCCATCTTGAAAGTTTATCGACTGTTCACACAAATTCCTCCATTTTGTCATAGAATAGTTCTTTCTTTTTATTGTTTTCTTTATTTTCTTAAGATATACATTCATAACCACTACTATAAGCTATGTTTAAACTGAAGGAGAGGTAAGTTTTAATAAATCATTTGATCCAATTGGAAAATGGAATGTTTTTACCTTTGAGTTTCCCATTTTGCATTTGCTTCATGCTTCTCCAGCTTCTTACTTCCAAGTCACCCTTTGTTTTTCATGATTACATTATTGCAACATTTTCAATCTTCCCTGAACCGAAGAAATTCTCGCAACTTGAAATAACTTATGCCATTTGTTAGGTTGCACAACTTTATTCACACTGATAGGTAATACTTATAGATTCGGTCTATTATTGATGATCTAATCTGTACAAAAGAGGTAATTATGCTAAGAGCCAAAAGGAGGCATTCCAGCCATTTGGGCTTGATTGGGCTTAGATAGTGTCAACCTAACTTGACTCTGCTTGAACTTATCATCTCATGCTAATGTGTACTTTCAATTTCTCTTAATTCATTAAAAGCAAATTATTTCTATGTTATTCAAACCCATTAGATACATTTTCTAAGATTTCTTTCATTTCTCTTATAGATAAATAATATCGTGTTTACTTCTCATTAAGTCAATGTTTTTAATCTATCACATCTGGGTTTCTCTTGATCCATGAAACTAATTGTGAAACAAAAAGAGATCCTAAATGATTTTCATGATCTATACCATTGTTTGGACATTTCAATGCTAGGAAATGGATTTTGACGGATATAAAGTTAAGTAAATGTTTTGAGGTGAGAGCAAAATTAACGTGTAACGAAAAAGTTTAAATCAAGATGTTTTTGTGCAAATTGTTAAGACCAACTTACAGTTGCTCATAATAATTAAGGAGTTTTAATACTAATTTATTCTACCTAATTCAGTTCATATGTTCGATGAAAACCAAATGCGATTGGTGGAATGATGCAAGATTTCTTAGTATCTAGAGTTTCTTGATGTATGAGATAATGCACACCAATCAAATTTATTATTCCTTCTTTAGTGAAAGCCGCAAATACAAAAATCTGACGCATGATAATTTAATATCCATGTAAGAGGAATAACACATTGATATGCAAAAGCATGAACTTGACATGCTCAATTGAAATGATTGACACAATTAAAAATTAGTTTGTACAGAAATTGACAAAAATAAATCACACAATCATGCCAATTAATAGAAATATGATATAAGAGTAAGAAAAATACGGGATATCCTTAAATTAGAAACCAACATAGAAGGTTTTAACATTCCTTAGAATCCCATATAAGATTTCTCCTATTTACAATAAAAATAGTAACTATTCAAATTTAATTAGTTGGGATGAAAATCCCATCACATGCGAGAACACAAGGATGAGTGAAGGGACATAGAAGGCTTAGACCTAGGTAAGGATTTTGAAAAACTCGTGAATCACTGATAATGCCAATGACGCATTTGTAATTGTGCAGGTTGAGGACTTTCAATGTGCTTGGAGCCATGGATGCGATAACTGAATTAGCGAGAATAATCAAACCAACCTAGAATGAGTGAAGCATCAAATAATTGAACCAAATAGGGTTGAATAGTTCATGGAACAAAGAACTAAACCTAACAAGAAAACAGGGACTTGCGAGCCAATGATTTAAGACCATCTACAAGGAATTGAGGATGCCGTTGTAGGAGTCTGTATCAATTTGCTTGGTTTGATAAATATGCCTTCAAAGAATTGTTTAGTTGATATTTGCGAAGTATATTTGGCATAATGTTGTATTTCTTATAAATACATCATTGAATCATGACGAGTAGACTTTCCTTTCATTTTAGTATCATTGATGATAATATACAGGATAATATCTCCAATAATTTTCTTGAGAATAAGATTAACATGAAACAGTTGGATTTGATTTCTGAAGGAGGTGTAGAAAAGAGAAAAATGCAAGG